TTCCTCTCAGCTCTTTCTGCTAGAATTCATGCTTTTCTGCTTAATGGAGCATCTGCCTACATTCCTTTGGAACATGCCTTCAAATACTGCTATTCTTTTTCATCCTCTTATTTCTATTTCTTTAATAATTGCCTCCATTAAAAGTAATGTGGAACACAGAGAGCAACAGCAACTACCAGGGGGAAGTATATAGTTTCCAGGCTCTACTGGGGCAGGAAGAGGAGGATGTCAAAAAATAAAATGGTGCAACTATTACATATCACACAAAAAGTATGCCCTTGGGAACTAAATGATTTTAGGCTCTAAGGGGTCAAAGTTGATCTAGTTAACAGAAGTCATCTTCCCAGAGAGAGTGGAAGGATCATTCAAATGAGCATGTGAATAACCATATCCCCAAGATGGTCATCTTATTCATGGTCATCATCAGCTTTCCACAAGGTTGCCCAAACCATTGTTGTTTAGTCATATCTGACCCTTCATGACCCATAGACCAGGCTGTGCTTGGGGTTTTCTTGGCAAAGATACTGGAATTGTTTGCCATTTCCTTCTCCAGTGGGGTAGACGAGTATATGGGGTGTTCAGGAAGACTAGCACCTCTGGTGTGAGAGCTTGCCAGTCCTTTTCAGGGCTTCTTGTCCACCTGATTCACCCAACTCTTACCTGTGGCTCCAAGACTAGAAGACACCCTGGTAAAGCACCCACACCCTGGTAAACCATCCCTTCAGATGGGCTGAATCAGGATGAGGGTAATTAAAGGGTCACAAATCTGTCAGTGAATGGGAGGAAGGTCCGCTCCAAGCATGCAAAGACTTCCCCCAGTGAAATGGGCAAATGAGGACATTTGTTCCAAGGACCACAAAGGCAGCTGAAGCAGGTACTGTGAATGCTTAGAGCTTGGTCAGGCATAGAACATGCCAAGGTCATCCTTTGCATCCTGGATCATTGCCAGTCATCTTGACTTTTGTCTTGCCACTGGATTTTGATGACTCAGGAAGAAGAGAGTGAGGCAGACAACTTTGTACAACTCTGCCTCACTAAAATTCAATTTATAAACTAGTTAAGATACACCCCATGATGTCATTGGTCTTCTTCAACATGAAGGACAAACAACAAGGCAAATAAAAGCTAATAGACTGGTCACATGCAATAAGGGTCTAGGGCTGTCTTTGAACTCAGGTCTTCTTGACTGCAGGCCTAGCATGCTGCCCACTCAGCCACCTAGTTGCCACCCAAACCATTAGTCAATGACAACTTTCTCCTGAGCTTTTCTTATTCAAGTATTTAAAAATCATAATGAAAGAAAGGGGAAGAAGAGGGAAGGAAACAGATGTTAAATTTTTTTAAAAAGTTTAAAAAAATGGTATAAAATAAATAATAAGACATCTTTCCTATTTCTCTTCTCTTATAGGTATTCATATTTTAAAACTAAGTTTCTAGTGGGCAATGGCCATGTTTTATATTAGGATTATCTTCAAATACTA